CATTATTATTTATATCATTAATTTATATTACAAAAACATAATTCAAATAAGTAAGAAAATATAACACTAAAAATCATATTATTTATAATTTTATATTTCACCGTCATTCATCATTTTATTTGTTAATATTTTAATAAAATTATTAATACTCAGTCCTATTCTGATTTGTACTCAACTCTTGATTATAAAAAGCAAGCAACCCAATAATTCATGTTTCCCAACCTGTAATTTCTCTCCGAACATACAAAAACCGACAGAGGGCAAACTTTGAACATACTATATCGTTAATTTCTTTCATCAATATATGATGATCTACATCCACATTTAAACTATAATCAATCACATAAATAAAGGTTCATCAAGAAATATAATCTCAATATTGTAAACATAAAACTAATACAAATCACTTGTCGAGAAATCAAGACTCTCGCAAAAGCGTTCCACTGCTTCAGCATTGAATCAGTTCTTTTTCATCAGCAATGTAAAATGGGCAATTAATACTTATAATCCGCATTTGAAAAATATGCTTCATAAATGAAACGAGATTGAGGTATGATGAAGACTTCCTCTTCGAGCAGACAAAGCCACGAAATGATATCGGTCAAAATAATATTGAATCCTTGGACATCATAATGAGTTCCATGATTAACCTGGTATGAGAATGCTTTTGCAGTTTGATTATGTTGTGCATGTTTTAAATATACTTAGTTGTTATGAACACAAGTTCTTTAAAAAAAATGCATTCTCTAATGCAGGAGCAGTATAACGAGATCATGTTGATGGATGGGAAATGTAGATTTGATGCATTCCCGCTAGGGCAATGTATATGACAGTTATTGTGATCGAAGAACTCATCGTGTTTGTATGGATGTTGAAAACATTTATAAACATAATTTCAGTACATATAACACTTGATTACATGTGAAATATAAATATATATATATATATACCCACACAATAGTATAGCATGACAGTTAAAACAGTTGAAAATGCAAAAGGGAGGGAGAGATTCTGGGGGCTTTTGCCCTAACAAGATTTAACCAAGTGTTGCCTGTTTACAAGAATCTTTCTAGCCTAGGATAATTGAATGGACCACACGCAGTGTTTATTCCCCTCCCCAACCCATTTGACGATCGTTGCTCCCACAATGTCGTAACTTTCCTCTCCCTGATTAGCGAGACCTCGGCTCGCTCTCTTTCTTCCTCACACGTTTCGGTGGCTGCGATGCATTTCTCCACCTCCTTTTGGTACTGGGAAGCCACCATTTTCGCTTCACCAAAGGTGATATTCATATGGTGGGAATGCTCTTCGGCAACAGCCTCCTGCAACTTCAACTCCTCCGTCAGGAGATACATAGTGATAACCTATGTTTCGAGTAGCAAGCACATGAACACTTGACAAACTTTTTACAGTTGCCGCTGAGACAAGAGGAAACACGAAACAAGGAAAACCAACAGCATAAATGCATAAGTAGCAAACACATGAACACTAGACACTTTTTACAATTTCCGCTGAGACAAGCGGAAACACGAAACAAGGAAAACCAACAGCATAAATGCATAAGAAGCTTCAGATTTGACACGATAATATAGTCCAAACACGATAAGTTGTAAATTAGATGTGAAAGAAATGAAGTTAGTTTACAAATATAACAATCCAACCAGCTTATTTAACAAGCTGTGCTATGATGTACATCAAGTCATTTCAGAAACGTAAAGACCTTTTCACCGTCCTTGACGTAAAACCTGGAGAAGGATCAAAATCACTAGACAAAGGGAACTAATATTCTTTCCTATGATATGTTATTGCATGGTTAGTAAGCCCAAGAATCCAGAAAGGTCATTACCTAACTCAACATACTTCCTGGCATACAAATCGGATATTCATATAGAAATGGCAATCTTCATTCAAGTATCAACTGAGTTATAGTGCACATAGAAATGGACATAGTGCTCGGGTGCGAAGGCTCGTATCCGACATGCGAGGTATCATCTGATTCGAGCTGAAATTATTTACAATTTTGTCACACAAGAGCTACCTCTTGTGAGATTGGGTGTTCCATAATACAACAACAGCTCAACTCAATATCTGATTAAGCAAGTATAAATCTGAATTCAAATTTGGGTTTACTTGCTTATCAACAACCAAGCAGAGACATCAACGACAACAATAGATCAAAACCCCAAATTGTAGAAACAAGAACTTCACAAAGAATAACAAACAAATCTAAACCCAAATCAAGAACCACTGTAACATAACATTCCCAAAGCTCAGAAATGAAAAATTAGCAAACAAAAAGCAAATCAAGACTTTAAATTTCCCAAAATGGGTAATCCTTAACTACAAACCAAAATTCGACAGCAACCCAGAATCAGAAAAAGGAGGTAAACATAAAACTAACGTAAATCACTTGCCGAGGAATCAAGCCTCTCGCAAAAGCATTTTTCTTATTTTTTATATGCAAAAGATTTGATTTTGAGTCTACGTCTAGAAGGTGAATATTATAAGAGATTAGGAAAAAGAAGAAGAAGGTGGTGATGAATCATAACGTGTTTGCTGAAGTCATAGAATCATATAACACAAATGAAAACAGAAAATAGAACAAATCCAGATTTCATATAAAACGATGAATTTCACTGCTGAGAAAATAAAACAAAGGGAGTGAGAATAAATCTTACAAGGAGAATGGGAAAATGAAATTTTCGAAGAGGCAAGCTCGGAGAAGAAGATATGCAGAGACAAACGGGAAATGAAGGGTATTTTAGCCCTTAACACGGGAATGAAAAAATACCTAAGATACATGTGAGAATAACATTCCCAGGAATAAACACCCCAACATATACTGTTGGTATTGAAAGATTACCCTCACTTGGGAATCTTACCCAACCAAATATGGGCATCTATAATCAGGAAAAAAAATGACGGCCAAGAATGATAGAATTCTTGATCCAAACACACTCTTAGAGATCCATTGAAAAACTTCGAACTCTTTTCGGCATTTTTATTGGCCAAAATTAGTGTTGAAATTGAAGTCAAAGCAAAGTATGGTTGGACTTCTAGTTGATATGGGTTTTTAATTTAATTCGAAAAATGGAGATTATTTTACCAAAAAATCACTATAAAATAATTCAATACTAAAATATTTTATTAAATTTTATTTGATAAATATTTAATTATTATTTAAATTTTGTTATATTTTATTTAATATTTCAAATTTTTACCAATTATATTAATGATTATATTTTAGAAGCATTTATTCATAATATTAAGATACACACATCTTTTGATTGCTTCGATTTTCGGGTGCAAGGATGTGGTGAATTACATCGTCAAAATTTGTAGTATCGACATTAACAGGGCTTGTGGTTCTGATGGGGCCACGGCTCTCTACTGTGCTGCTACTGGTGGCTTCTCTCATTCACCCGAGGTCGTTAAAATTTTGCTTGATGCTTTTGCCGATACAAATTCTGTTGATGCTAATGGAAATCGACCTGGTGATTTGATTGCTCCCTCTTGGTGCAACTCTGATTTAAACTCAGGAAGAAGATATTACAGACTTTGCTGAAAGGAGGTGGTTGTGTTGGTAAAAGAGAGGGTCTGGCAACTCAAGTAGGGAATTAGATGGAAGGGTCAGAGCAACAAGTGGATTCAGTTCCTCGAGCTTGGAAAGATGGAAATGAGAAGAAAGATTATCCCTATAATCTCTCTCTTCCCGACATTAACAGTAAGCTGTATGGGACAGACGAGTTTAGGATGTATACTTTCAAGGTCCAGCCTTGCTTAAAAGCTTACTCTCATGATTGGATCGAGTGCCCAATTGTTCACCCGGGGGAGAATGCAAGAAGGCGTGATCCTAGGAAATATATTTATATTTGTGTTCCTTGTCCCGAATTTGGTAAAGGATCGTGTAAGCAGGGTGATAACTGTGAATATGCACATGGTATTTTCGAGTCTTCGCTTCATCCTGCCCAGTATCGAACTCCTCTATGCAAGGATGAGACTAATTGTACTAGAAGGGTCTGCTTCTTTGCTCACAAGCAAGAGGAGCTTCTTCCCTTGTATTCTTGGACATGTTCAGCTTTGCCTTCGCCTGGATCATATGAAGCTAGTGTTGAATATGGTTCGATGAGCCCACTTGCTCCTGAGCCCTGCCTCTCCATCTGTTATAAAACCTTCTACATCAACAACACCCTTGACTCCTGGGACCTCTTCTATTGGCAGAAGGATGTGGTCAAACCAGTCTAGCATCATACCTCCTACCTTGCAGCTTCCTACTAGTAGGTTAAAAGCTGCTCGAAGTGCTTGGCGTAAGGATTTAAACATAGAAATGTCCGGGGAATTAAACAGGTTTGGAGGAGTGAAGTCGACTAATCATGAGGATAGTTTTGGATCTCTTTATACTACCAAGCCTCCCTTACAAAGAATTTCACTACTGCTTCTCAATTGCAATCACTGACTGGAGTTCAAATGCCCTTGAATATTAACCCGCAGCTCCGCGCTAGCTACCCAACGAACCTAACATCCTCTCCTGTATTGACATCTCCAACCTTTGGGGCTGAACCATCTGGAACAACTGCAACACCTATTTTAAGTTCGAAGTTGACCAAAGGTGTTATCGAGCGCCCTTCTGCAAACCGTCGTTCAGGGTATTCTACACCAACACCTCCAGTTGGTGCAGTGCCTCCTAACCTTTCAGATTGGAGTTCCCCTGATGGCAAACTAGACTGGGGTATACAAGGAGAAGAGCTAAAACAACTAAGAAAATCAGCTTCTCTCGCGTTCATAAACAGTGGCAGCAATTTGGTTCTCAATGCCATTAACCGATGATGAATCAGAAGTGTCTCAGGTCAAGTCTCACATCAACGTCATCCCTTCTACCAGGCAGTTTAGACTTGAGGACCAGTCTCGGCAGCAATGTCATGACAATGGGGATCCAGATATGCTGATTGGCTGGATGGAACAATTGTACAAGGACCAGGATAAATTGATTACCTAAAAGCAAACTTGGTTCAACTGAGTTCTATACAAGTATCACGAGGCGATCTTTGTTTAGAAGGGATAAAAGGGCTCCTTGTATGGCAACCAACCCCATCGATCAATGCTGGCGTTGTGATCCAAACTGGATAAGAAATAGGAAGAAGTTGGCTGATTGCGCTCTCGGATTCGGGAAAGGTACCATTGGTGGAAGGGACGGAGATATTTACGTGGTCAGTAGTCCTTCGGATGAGCCGCTTGACCCTAAACCTGGTACCCTACGTTATGGTGTGATCCAAAACGTGCCACTTTGGATCATCTTTGCAAGAAGCATGATCATCACGCTGAAAGAGGAGCTGCTCATCACATGCGACAAGACCATCGACGCTAGAGGAACCAACGTGCATATCGCTTATGGGGCTGGTCTTACCGTTCAGTTTGTGAAGAACGTCATCGTCCATAACCTCCATATCCATCACATTCTTCACAAGAGTGGTGGCATAATCAAGGACGGTTCAAACCACTTTGGGTTGAGGACAAGGAGCGATGGTAATGGGATTTCCCTCTTTGGAAGCACCAACGTTTGGCTTGACCATCTTTCCAATGTACAAATGCTCCGATGGTCTCATTGATGTTGTTCAAGGTTGTACCGCCATCACCATTTCCAACTGTCATTTCACTGATCACAACGACGTGATGTTGTTTAGAGCAAGTGACAGCTACAGTGAGGATGAGAAGATGCAGGTCACTGTTGCTTTCAACCATTTCGGAAAAAACTTGGTACAGAGGATGCCTAGGGCCCGATTTGGTTTCTTCCATATCGTCAACAACGAGTACACTTATTGGAACATGTATGCCATCGGAGGCAGCAGCCACCCTACGATTATCAGCCAGGGCAACCGATTTAGAGCTCCGGTTAACAAAGCAGCCAAAGAGGTCTGCAAGAGGGAATATGTAGGACCGGAAGTGTGGAAGCACTGGAACTGGAGATCAGAAGGTGACTTGATGTTGAATGGTGCCATTTTCATTCAGTCCGGAGATCCGAACGCCAGCAAGAAATACGGAGGTGACAAATTGATGGCTGTTATGCCGGCTCATAGGGTGCCTTTTATGGTCAAGTGGTCTGGAACACTTATCTGCGTCCCTGGCAGGGCTTGCTAAACCACTGGCTTGTGGGTTTGTTTTCTCATAATGGACAACAATCTCTTAAAATCTCATCACTGTAACACAAGAAGGGACCATTGGGATGTATGTTCCTTTCTTATATTCCTAGTAATGTCTTCATATATTATGGATACAACATTTCCATCTTACTTTAAACTTAGATTTCTCCTCCCAAGCTGCAAAACTTTAATTCACAGACAAAAATATCCTCAAGGGTGAAATTAATTAAAAATAAGACAAACATTAACTACTAATTTGTTCTTAATACTAATGTTGGAATCAACAAGTCATATTCATGATTTGTGGACATAATTTGGAACACTAACACCGATTCCAATGAAAATGGTTCTTAATGCTAATGTTGGATGAGTCATAATTCGGTGTACGTCTATTTCATCAATCAAGATAGCTCCCTTGCATCATGGATTCAAATAGCGATCTTCTATCATAATAGCGACCATTATATAGTGATATTGGTGCCATCCGAAACTGTTATTAGATGATTGCGATACTCGCAATGACCGCAATGACCATAAATACAACACAATTGAAAATGCAACTGCAACCATAATTTAACCTTATCAATAAGTTTTATAAAATTGAAGCTTAAAAGGGTTCCTTTATTCCTTTGTTTTCTGGGTTCATTATGAAGTAGCAGATTTCTTTACATTATAAATATTTTTTCTTTATGTTCTTGTAATGTATGGCAGTAGTAACTAAGATTTGAAGTATTTAGTCAGTTTTTTTTTCTTTGGCAGGTTTGCTTGAACATTTTTCATGTGTATACTATTTCATATTTTATCCTATTTTTATGTTCATAAATACGGAGGAGCAGCTCTGTTTTCTTAACATCATTTTCCGTTTCCTCGTTCTTTAATCTTTCCTAGGGACTTTGGACTTTGTTATTTTAAGGAAAAGAGGAAACAAGAGAGAGATGGTTCAAATGTGGAGTAAGATGAAAATTCACGATGGTGGTGGATCGATAGTCATCACTACGGTTGATAGAGATTCCAAATAGATGATCGAGATTAATAGTGAAAAATCAAAGATTTTTATGTAAAATGTAAGTGAATCATATATATATTCTCCTACTAAAGATCATTGAATAAGTATAAATGATACGTGAGATTATTCACTATTTTTGTAAAAATCTCCTCGATTTTGAATTTTAATCTTATCGATCAATTTATACCCATATAATAATTCTAGATCAATATGAAATAAAAAAAACACTATATAACTGGATGCTACCTCTCTCTATATAAACACAATTTCCCATTTTTTATTATGATTGTGTCAACTCAAAATTTAATTTTGTTTGATAATTTTTATCCCCTCATGATTTAATTTAAATAAAGAATATGAAAATATTTACTTATTTTGAAGAGGTCTCGTGACATCTTAAACTTGTTATATTGGATCATTGAAGCAACTATTATTAAATTTTTTTTTGTCTTTTAATATAATTAGAAATTATCGTAAATCAAATTCTTCAAGTTTATAAACCAATGTTCCGTTTACAAGTTTAATAAAACAATATTAAATCATAAATAGGGCTTACAATTCAACACAAGTAAGAGACCTATGGATACATATGCCCACTAATGTCCTAAAACGTTGTACCCTAAAAAAAATGTTGGAATCATGCTATGACAATCACTCAAATCTATTATTATACAAACAAAAATATCAGAACGTTGAGATTTACAAACTCAATAGGATATCTTTAATCAAATGTACACATCATGAATGTCATAAATATAAGTACGCTAACATAATATATAACGAACATTGAGTATTTGCATGTTACACAATTCAAAGAATGATATAGTTGAATGACTATTTATATACTTTATCTTTTTAAATATTGACGGTAAAATATTTTAATCTACTGGAGGATTTAAGATATTTTATGACATGGTGCATGTTTTAATTAATGTTTTCATGCTACTTATTAAAAAAATGAAAACAATTAATTATTATTGAGTTTTAAAATAGTTTTATCATATTGTTAAAAAATAATTTTATCGTAACATAAAGATTAATTAGTCTAAATCGTAATTTGAAATAACATAAAGAGTAATTAGTCTAAATCTTAATTTGATGAAAGCGACAAATGAGGTGTTGATATAGATGCCAATTTTTGTTAATGTGATGGTGTGGTTAAAACAATATTATTTTGGTGGGGATATATTAATGCATAAAATGTTTTTATTAAGATTATATATAAATATTGATTTTGTCATTAAATTTTAAAATATTTTAATTTTACGTATAATTTTTCGGTCATCATTGATAGTTAATTGTTACCCATCGTCAATTATCATGTATGGTAAAATAGATATAAAAATGTTCTTATTTTATTTTTCTTTCTGTTTGGATTGGTTTGTTTACGGAATTCATTAAAATATGGTCTAAAGATTTGATGTGTTAGTGTTTCTATTTTCTTGGATGACCGTTCAATTAGGTTAATTTTAATATATGTAAAAAAGTGGTAGAAGATGATAAGACATTCTCATTAATGTTTAGAGTGATTTTAAAAAACATAGGAAAGTAATAATTTCAACTATAACTAAAAATAAGTGAAAAAAAATCTTCTTTGATGAAGAAGATGGTGACCTAGAATAATTTTTTTTTTACTTTCATGCCAATACCATGTTAACATCAAGTTGAAATATCAATTTATTGCTTATAAATTAATAGTTCAGTGATATAATTACATTCAATATTAAAATTCATTATTATAATCATATTAATTTATAGTTCAAAAATATTTTTAATACAAAGAAAAACTTAATGATATTTGATGAAATTGATTATATATATATAGGTTTGTGTGAGATACTAAATATGGGTTTTGCCAATTTTTTTCCTATGAAATCTATTTTCGTTGATAGACTCCTTTAGTTTGACAGTATGGGAAAAATGATTAAATTAATAAAAAATTTAAGTATAAAAAGTTAATTAAATTATTTTAAATTAAAAATAAATTGATAGAATGTATAAGTTTTGGGTCTAATTAATAGACTAAGTAGTCTTGTTAGGTTGGAAGACATACTTAATGAGTGATTCTTTGATAGGTAACAAGTCAGGAAACTCTTTCTACAACTTGGATGCATCCATTACATTGTTGCTTCGGGGGGCAACTATCACCTAAGCTTGTTCTTCCAATGTGAAGTTCACCCACTGAAACTTGGGGTCGACCCAAGTTTTGTACATTTCCAGGATCTCGTTGTGGCTCACAACCCCAGGGTTGGTAAAGTTCCATGTGCCTCTCAAGTTCCTCTTTTCCATCTCCATAGAAATGGGCAGAAGTTCGTCCAAGATTGTCATGCTGTTGGGGATATTGACCACCTTTCTGTAGCGCGTAATCTTGGTGATGAAGTTTCGTGGGTTGTTTAGGTCGGATGAGATGGGCATTCGAACTCTGAGGGTGCACACACTGTCATATTCTTTCAACAGATCTTCAGCCTGAATAAGATGGGAGGAAAATATAAGACATGCGTGCTACTTTAGATCCAGGTTTGAGCCGCTGACATCAGCAAGATGTGTGTTGTCAATGGTTCAAAAAGATTCTGGACATATACTTCCTTGTAATCACCTTATACTATTAAAAAAGATAGATGTATATCTCTGAGTAGTTACCATAGCCTTGGTTTTTGGATAGAAGGAACCAGTGAAATTGGGTTTGTCCTCCTCTTTAAAGCCTATCCCTGAGCCTAGAGGATGTGCAGCATCGTACTCGAATATACAGCCGGTAACGAAGTTCATCATCAAAAGCCCATGTTGTCTGCAAACATCTGCCAAGTTCAAGGTCCCAGACACATTGGCGCGAATTGTCTCAGTTTTGTGAGATTCACACCAATCAACATTGGGTCTACCAGTCACTCCAGCAGCATTGAAAACATGGGTTGGCCTTATATTTTGAATATCTGACACAATTGATGATCGATCGTCCAAGCGTTCTCTTCCATATTCATAGGGAATACCTTGTTTCTCACATAATTTACCAAGTAAACCTCCAATCTAGCCAGTCCTACCATATATCAAGAACTTGAAGGCCGGTTGTAGGGCAGAGTCACTGCTTTTGGAGGTTGGAACTATCATTCGAGGCGTCATAGGATCACTCGACCACCAGGCATCATCAGCATTCTTGGATGTGCAAGCAGTGCGCCGGACACATTGCCCCACCGATGGGGAATTTTGGTGTACCTTCGATCGTCCTCTTCAAGCCCTCCTCCCATACAGTTCGCTCGGACCATCCCAAGACCTTCAGTTTCTGATCATCAAGAAAATACCTCTGGTCATTGAATGGTCTGTTATCAACGAACTTGATGCATGTCTCGGGATCCATCGAGAAAAGTTTGCATATATCTTTGGCTACATCAATTACTCTCCTTTCCTTCTTCGTTCCAATGTTATAAACATGGCCAACTTCACCCTGTGAAGAATGACTTCAAATGACTCAGCCACATCCTCACAATATAAATAACTCCCCACATTAGAACCATCTCCATGAATCGGAAGAGTCTCCCCCCTCATTGCTAAGAGGATGAACTTTGGAATTAATTTTTCAGGGAACTGTTTGGGACCATAAACATTGTTTCCACGGGTTGTAATCACCGGTAACCCATATGACCTACCATATGCAATTACAAGCATTTCAGCACCGGCTTTCGTTGCGGAGTACGGGTTTATCGAGAGAAGTTGGGACGCCTCATGGTTCCCTACAACCTCATCCTCATCCGTCTCCCCATAAACTTCTTCCGTACTCACATGGATGAACCTCCTGATCTGACCAGTGACTTTGCAGTCTTCAAGTAAGACATGAGTACCATAGATATTGTTCTTGGTGAACTCGAAGCTGTTGCCGAACGAGTTATCGACATGAGTTTGGGCCGCAAAATGCATTATTTTTTCTATAGAGTCGGCGACGAGGAGCTAGTTAACAAGGTCAGCACTGTTGATGTCCCCCTTCACAAACTTGAAGTTCGGGGACGACTGGTAGGGAAGGAGGTTTTTCAGGTTCGAGCAGTAATCAAGCTTGTCAAGCACAGCAATCTTGTAACCGGGGTAATTACAAATGAGCCGATTAACCACATGGGATGCTATAAAACCATCAGCCCCGGTTATGAGGATGTTCTTGGGGGTATAAGTAGTCATTCTCAAACCAATTCTACCAAAAAAAAAAAGCAAGAAAACTAATCTCAGTAGGCAAAGCATAAAAATCATTACCATCAACAAGCACCAACTTGCATAAACAAATATGTGGAAAGTATAGATAGAATCTATGTTCAAACCCAAAAAAGCATGAAAGAAAAGCCAAAAATCATATCAAGTTGGTCATGCCATCAAATGCAATAAAATCATATCACCTCATCAAATTAACTACCCTGTCAATGTGTGCACTCAGAGTTCAACCAACAGAGAAAACATTATCCATAAGTTTATGATTTATATCAACAAGATCAGCCTTAATTACCAGATCCGAGTTAAGTATAAAAAATTAAAACTTTGAATATGTAAAAGAAAAGAACGGAATGATCCTTTCCCATTCATCATAAAATAGAAAAGAGAGAGATATAGATCCAGTTCATAAGCAGATGAACCCAAGCTATGAAGTTTACAGACTCCTAACTCCATTTCTCCGTGCATAACCGACTCCGTTGTTGGAAAGCTATCACTGGAAAGACGATTAAACTTTATATCTTTGAGTTCTTATCTCAAACCTTCAACGCATTTGAACCTGATGTTGGTGTACATTTTGATGAGCATTTGTCTGCCCCTTATTCGATGATTGATCGATCAAGAGCTGTTTACACGCAAGGCTTGATTATGATGGTGTATTTGGAATGCATTGAATCGGTCCTGTTGTTGGTCACCCTCTTACAGTTTACGGAAAAGGTTTTTGCTTAATCATTTCTTTCAACGGTTTATATCCGTGCCCTTTTTATGTTTTATGGTAGGCTTGAACTAAGCTTGGTAGGCATGAATCTTTGGTGTATTTCATAAAATCAGAAACTAAACATGTTTCTATCTTCTTTCTTGCAGGTACCCTCACATTATCAAGCAGATCAGGATATTTACTTTCACAGGTTGAACAGTGATCAAGTTGCCTTCATGACCAAAGAGTGCCACATTTACTTGATATCTGATGGGTAAACAGATCTATTTCTTTTTTGTTTGAACATTGTTTCTAGGATGGATAATCATTTCTTAAGGTTTCTCCTCCCATTGCTATTGCACGATTCATGATAAGATCATACGACGTCAGTGACCAAATGCGATGAATGTTCAAATATTACATGGTTTTGCATTGCTAAGAAACTCAGTTATCGTCGTACCTCCCGAAAACGAGTTCAAGTATACATGCTAGTTACACTTCGTTCTACTCTCCACCTCTGCTGCTCTAACTCTTACCGATTTGTTACAAATTAATAATGTTAGTGATCAATTTATTAATTTTAAAATTTCAGTAAGAAAAATAAAAACTTACTCAAAGATTAAAAAACATTTGTATAGTTGATCCTAAAATAAATGGGAAAATGCCAGATGGCAAAAAGGAATCGGCTTGGAAAAGATGAGGCAGTAGCGGCCCATATTATCCCCACACATGCATAAGCAGTAATGAAAGTGCAGTTTGGGCCTCACCTGCTCAGTCCCGAGTTGCTGTTAAGTAATAGAAATGACATCCGCTTTTGCTTTTGCTGCTGGAACCTCATCTTCTTTCTTACTCCCAACCACCCACAAACCTAAACATTCAAACCTCCGTTACCCTTTGACGGCGCCTACGATAAGATCCGAAAGCATGGCCACTGAGAAACTCGGTATCAAAGTGGAAACCAACCCTTCTGAATCCAAACTTTCCCAGCTTGGCGTGCACCAGTGGCCCAAGTATGTCACTCAAACCCCTTCATTCAGTATCAATTTTTATGGGTTTTTATTTTTCATTACTTATTCATGGATTTTTAATTGGTTTTGGTAATTTTTTTGAACAGGTGGGGTTGTCCTCCTAGTAAATTTCCATGGACATATAGCTCAAAAGAGACATGTTATCTGTTGGAAGGGAAAGTAAAGGTGTACCCAGACGGTAGCAACGACTTTGTGGAGATTGGTGCTGGCGATTTGGTTGAGTTTCCCAAAGGGATGAGTTGCACTTGGGAAGTTTCAGCTGCTGTTGACAAACACTATAAATTTGAATGAGTGCTTTCTCTTTTCTCCATTGTCATTATGAAATAATATCAATGCTTGGCTGATGTAAGAGCTACCCATACTGTCTAAGTTTGAATATGATATCTGCTTCTCAGTACTTTGGACCAAGTTTATTTAGCTTGTCAAATATGAACCTATTCTATATGCCTCTCTGTTCCTATCTGGTGTGTCTGCAGGAAGGAACTCATCAAGTTTTAGTACTGGTCTGTGTCTGAATTTGTACAAATGCTGTGAAATTGTAGCTGTTTACTCGGTCAGGTGAGAGTATCGGATATAAATATGTCGCTTGTCGGTATGTTTAATGTTATTTTCTTTTATATATATTTGGAGTACTGTACCTCCATATACATGTATCAATTTGGGTGTCGGAGACAAATTTATCAAGAAAAATAATAGTAAGGTATTTCTGAAAATATAAAAATGAATTGTTGGCAATGCATCGAAAGAGAATACATGCATTAATTCACTAACTACAACAGTTTCCTATCAATGCTAATTTGCATGGTTTTCAGAACCGGACCGATTAGAGAACCGGTCATGTTATCGGTTTACTGGTTCAACCGGTTGAACCAGTCCGACCGGTCGGAAAAACCGGACGATATCATAATTATTTAAAAAATTAAATAAAAATACCAAAAATATTTAATAAAAAATAAATTTTATATATCACAAGTCATATTCAAAGCAAGTCATAACATATATGAGTTAAAAATCATAAAATAAAGTGAAATAAAATGATTCAAATTAACTACAACATAATATTTAATATAAAACATATTAAATAATAAATATAATTATATAACTATAATTAAAAAATAAATTTGGAGTTAAAAAAATCATAACAAAATGATATTGTTTGATTTATTTTTTTTTTTAAAACAATCTCACATGGCTAAGAAACATAGAAGAACATCCCAAAAGTCTAAAGAATAAAAATATGAGAACAAAACAATCCACATGGCTAAGAAACATAGAAGAGCATCCCAACTAACTTCTATAAATAATAGAGGTAATTTGACATTCAAAATCATGGAGCCTTTTGGTGAGCATAGAGTGAACTATTCTTTCACTTTAATCAAGCTCGAATTTTAGGCTTCAATCGAACTTCTAAATTTTTTTTGAGTTTAAACCTTTTCGAGTTCAAGTTTCAATATTATATTTCGAATTCGAGTTGAACTTGATAATTCTTAGTTCGTGAGTTTGAATATAGTTGAACTTACTTTTAAAGTTTGAGTCGAGTTCAGCAATACTCGAGTTCGACTTGGCTCGTTTAACAAACGACGTCATTTAGTTTAATTTTTTTTATAAAAAAAAAAAACAAAATTGGCGGTTTTTTTCGGTTTTCAGCCGGTCCGGTTCGAACGGTTCAATGATTCCGGCCGGTTCACTAATAACGGTTCAATTGGTTTAATTTGAACCGGACTAGGCAACGGTTCCCGGTTGAACCGGCCGATCAGGTCCGATTTTCAAAACAATGCTAATTTGCATACAAAAGTGATGTTCTAAAAACCAACAGAAGTGTCATTTTTATTTTTATTATTTAACTGCCCTCATTGGGATCAATATATGCATTAAAATTGGTAAACATTTCTCAGGCCCAAGGCATAGTCAATGCTGCAATGGGAAATACTAACAAAAATATGTGCAGCAATGTTTTTTTCCCTTATTTTCACCGTCGAACTCTGGAACTCCAATCCAACATTAGCTCCCAATGATACAGCAAAACAGAACAAATTCATACAGACTGAAGAAGATTCAAAACTGATTTCCGGTTGGGCATGCTAGGCATGGCTCCTTTCATTTGAACACAAAGAGAGGCTGCTGCAGCTGAGTAATTGGTTAAACAAAATATATGTGAGGATCAAATCCTTGGTGAAGTTATATATAAGCAAAGAAAGGTCATGATCTATATGAATATACTAAAGTAAGTGAGAGAGAGAACAAGGAATACCGGCAAATCTCAAGCATTCTTTCTTGGACTTTCCCTCTAATAAAGCCACAGCAAAGGATGCAGTAAAAGTATCACCAGCTCCTGTTGTATCTACAACTTGTGCAGCAGGAATGATTGACTGTCTAATTGGTTCCTCACCTTCTACGAATAAAGCAGATCCCTTGGCCCCAAGTTTCACAAGAACTTGCTTAACACCCTGAAATGTATTCACATTTAACTTGTAGTAAAATCTTGGTATCTGCCTAGAGACTCGAATAATTTCCATAACAAGCTTGCTCACTACTGAGGGCCATTTATTTGAGTAAATAGAAATGATCAGTCAGTCCCTATAACTCCTGTTGCATGAAAAGACTTTACAACTGATGGAGAGTTTCATACGTAAAATCAGTCAATGAGACAATTGAAGGTTCCAATGAAAAGAACCTAATTCAGTGTCTTTCTGCAAAATGTGTGTGGATGTTCAGCATGGTAGACCACATTTTGAATTAGTAATATGAGCAAGTTCTCTATTGATCATTACACAAGAAAACAGAATTAACCATGAAACAGCAGAGAAATAAGGAAACACGTCTAAAAAATACCATAAAAATTTGTGCTAATCACCACAGTTGTTGCCAATGCTGAATGGTTGTGACAATTTATTTTATTTTTTTAAAAAAAAAACATATATTTTTAAATGTTCTATTGCCTAAGAACTTCATGTCGCATCATATATTCCGGTTTAAGAAAATGCCAAACTAAGGCCCTCTTTATGTGTGGAAAAACTCACCATTTTGTGACATTTTCCAGCCGCTTGACTAATCTGCTCAAAATTTTTAGTAGGCATTCCCGTCAATCGACCAAGTTCAGATTCATTTGGGCTAAAGATATCAACAAAGTTCAAAAGTTGTTGTGGCATTGGTGCATCCATTCCACCAGCATCCATAATTACAGAAACACCGGCACTCTTTGCAGCCTGAAAAGTTAAAGTGTCAAATTACGAAAATTTGATGCAAAAGAAAGCTTGCAAGTGCAAGAGAGTGAACTAGTAAACTTTACCATGTAAAGTCCATTTCAGTGAACCCAAAAAAAATACTAGAGGACTCATTGGATAAAATTGAACTGAGAAATCATTAAACTAATCACCGACCAAATACCAAGTTCATCTTTCAATTAGATCAAAAGGACTTTACTGTCAATGGAGAACAAAAGACCTTAGCTTTTGCCTTCTAAAGAGGATAATGTTTATCTCACCTCACCAGCCAACCAATGCAGCAGTAACAGTATTAACAATAATCTCTTCAACTTTGAATTGAGATAATCAACACAATTAGATCAAGGAAGACTTCTCTTTGCAACCAAATCACTTTCCTTTCAAAGCAAAGAACCCTAAACAAGTACTCAATCATCTCCAAATAACTACAAATGTCCCCAATATCCTTTCTCTAAAATGAAGCCTACTTTTGAGGTTGTTTTCCCAAAATTCCAGCAATTAGATCTTAGTTGTCCCAACCCGCCCTAGGAACAAACAAGAAGGAAGAACTGGAATGAGAACTTTCTCTGAGTTCTCTGTTTGTGGCACCTCTTACGAGTCTTTAAGCATGAAAGGAAAGTCTGTCATCTTTGTATACGCAATTAAGTCTTTCGCTTTGTGTTTTTTGTACCAAAACCCCATTTCCATCCGCCGGGGAATCGAATCCATTCATATAGATCTTGTTGGTTTCCGATTATTCCCCCTCCGTCCTTAAAAGAAACCGTTTAGTCTGCGCCCTTGTTCTCAGTGCATCTGAATCCACTCTCATCCAAGCAGTTGAAGACATTTCATCTCAATCAAAGGCGTCTCCCAAAGCCCGGTAGAAGTATAGAAGTAAAGGCAACTTAAAATATAGGACCCTAGCATCCCTTATTTTTCAAAGGCATCTCAACCCAATCTTATATCATTCTCATAAACTATTGTTGCCTTCTTAGTTCAGTAATTATTGAAGTTAAATTTCGTGTTCCACATTTCATGTGATATTTGAACTTGATTATACAGGCAAGTTACACATATCGTTCTCATGACCCTTCCCATATTTTTGGTTGTTCAATCTGCATGATTTTCTTATGGTCCCATGTCTATTATTGAATATTCAATTATCAAGACATAGAGAGTTTGATACTATCTATTTTCTTATTAGCAAAAGCAGATCTAATGAAAAAAGTTAAAAATATAAGAAACTAAAGATAACTTAAATTAGAAGGGCACCCTTTTCTTTTGTCTAACACCTTAAAAAAGGAACACTTAAATGCACCATGCATGCACCTTATCAAATGCGATTCGCCTGAAAGGATCTAAGGCACTTTCTTTGTCTAAGTATAGACACACTAGAATAGACATGTCAAGTTTAGATATCATTATGCAGATCAAACATTTTAAGTGTGAGTTTGATATTTAAAACTATCCGGAGTTCCTTCTATTTTATTTTTACATTGCAAGGAAACACTTAGAGAGGCATTTTAAAATTGTATTATACCTAAAAATCATTTCAAATATGAAAGAGATGTTCAAGACTCAAAGCTTAGCCAGAGCACTCTCTAAGGCACAGAGAAACACAACAATTCCAAGCTCAGCGTGAACCATGTAGTTGATCCTCGTTGCACAAGTTCATAATAAAGGTTTTAAGAGAATGGTTTTGAGCAGGAAAGAAATAAACAATGATGTTTTAATAAGCTTTGTTAATAGAAAGCCTCTAGGGATTTCTAAGCACTTGTGATACTGCTTGAAAGTGGATACAGATCACTTAATACAGAGTAGTCAATTATCAATTCGCAACCTGAAGTTAAGAATCATTATATGACATATTCCTTCTTCAAAGCATTTCAATTGACCTAAACAAAAGCGCTAAAAGATAAAGGGCTCAAAGGTTACTTATAATTAGTGTGACTAGCATCATCTTAGTATAGGATTTCCTCAATTTGAATTTTACTTTTCACGAGACAAAAACTTATCTTTAGCGCCAGAAAACCACAATCGCAGGCAAAATATTCGAAGAATATAATGAACACGCTAAGCTATACTAATTTAGGAAGGCAAGTGACAAAAAAAACATACATATTGTAATGTACTACATATGTAAGACTAACATCAAGAGGCTAACAAGATGAACCTTTGCATAGCTTCTATAATTGCAGAAACTTCCTATAGTTCCTTAGAAATCATAAAAGGCCAAATGATAATCAATGTGGCGGTGTGTAACACTTTCAAGCTTAAAAGCATCTTTCATTTAACCAAATTCTCAAATCATCCATAGTAGTTCTAGTTTAGCTAACAAAGTTGACACTCTATACAAGTATAAAAGAAACTACTCGCTATTAAATTATGGATTCAATAATTATGCCAAAATAATTCTATTAGCAACAGAAAAGACACATAAGCATAAATTTCAGATAACAAAAGATCCCAAGTCCAAACCTTGGCGACTTGAATGTTAACATAATCAGGAATTTCCCTCTGAAGCAAAACAATGCCAGCCTTCGTAACAACATCCAAGTCCTGATCAGACAACTTGTCAGGCCAGGAACTCATATTAGCGCCACCAACAATGATAATCGAATTCTGCCCATCAGACTGCAACATCACCACTGCATGACCAGTAGGCACACTGCCAGTCAAACTCTTCAAATACTCCAAACGGACCCCACCACTTCCCAAAGCCTGAGTAATCAATTTCCCATGCGCATCATCACCTACTTGTCCTACAAAATATGTTGGGTAGGAAAGCTTGGCACCACAGGTGGCCTGGTTGGCTCCTTTGCCTCCTGCAAGAGTTTGGCCATTTTTGGCTGAAATGGTCTCTCCTTCGGCGGGTAATCTGTCGATTTCCACATAGATATCTGCATTTGCTGAGCCAACTACGACCAGAGGTGGGGGGTGGGTTATTGGGGTCTGGGTGGATTCAGTTGAGTTAATGGAGAACGAAAGAAGTGGTTTGTTCTGATGGTTGAAGAATCGAAATGGGATTTGGGTTAGGGTTTGGATGGGATGGAGAGTTTGGTTACCATGGATTTTGGAGTAGCGATTGGCATTGAAATTGAAATTTTTTGATGGGGAAAAGGCGATTCCTTCCATCTTTCTTCCTTCTTCCTTCTTTCAACTTTTTTCTTTTTCCTTTCGCCTGTAAGCTAAAGTGTCATTGAATTTAATTTATTTTGTGATAATAGGATTTTAAATATCATACGTCTTCGACGCCGTGATCCAACGTAATCGGTTTAGAAATAAAGTCGTTTGTTTATTTCAGAATGATTAAGTGTTGATTAAAATGTTGAATGATTTAGAGTCTGAATGTGACATATTGTTTGATAATAACTATGAATCATTCAGAATGTATTTCTGTGCTCAGCATTTTTTTGTTGAATCAGTCAACACTGAATCATTTAGAGGTACGAAATAAATACGCTGAAACGAATGATTCTATTAAAAGATAAACAAACATCCCCTAAGTATTCCATCAAATCGAATTAAAATTTTTGAATTATTTGAATTTATGAGTTTTTTTAATAATTCAAATTTGACATGAAAATTTAATTGAGTTAAGTTAAGTTTATAAAATTCGAGTCAAATTTTTAATTTTTTATTTAAATTTAATTATAAATATTTATAATATTATAATACTATTTAATTACAATTTAAATGATTTTTTATAACTATATATATATATATATATATATATATATTTCATATATGATATACATATATCATACAGAGCTAAGAAACTCGACTCAAACTTTAAAATTAATCCATTAATTACTAAAAATTTTGAGTCATTCGAATAACTATATGATTTATTAGAGTTGTATTTTATAATTATGTAATTACTAATTTGATGGAAGAAGAAGAGGGGAATAGAAAATGAAAGAAATGAGCATCCAAAGTGTGATGTTGATCTATATCAATGTTCGAAACAACATTTGGATTGTTGTGATCATGTCAACACTATTGATTCAAAGCTCCTTTCAATTATATTTTAGGTTTTTTATTATATAAAGTTATCACGTGATTTTAATAGTAAATATGAATATTAATCTTTTTAGAAATTTTGAGTTTAAGTAATTATACCTATAAAATATATATGTTTTATCAATTAATTAAAAAAAATTAAATAAATATTATCTTATAATTATCTTAAACTATTTTAAATAAAAATTGACCATAAAAACTCCTTATAATGCTTAAATATTAGGTACTTGTGTAAAATAGGAAGTACCAACTAATGTTTGTGATTTTCAATAATAAATTTCAGAATCTAATAATGTATGATATATCAAGCGATGAACGTGGAGAGTTCATGTCCTCTTGTTGCACCTCTTTCATGTCAATCGGCCACGTACTCGGTTTACTTGTTTCCACCGTTGGATATATATTTCCATTTCCCAAAATCAGACCACCAAAAACATTCGAACGAATACCAACGATTTGACTCTTTCGAGAATCTGCCTTATATGTTTGTTAAGCAACAATGGCCGTTGGCAGCCTAAGCATAGGAATCTATATTCCTTTGAGAACCCAAATCCTTTTCAGTCCAAAATTAAAGGCTTTTAGTGTTGTTAGCAAACCCGGAAAGTTTCCTTCTTGGTTCGATCAATGGGTTCTTCTGCTTCTTCCCACACGCCCGACAACGTTCAAGGTATTTACTTTTATTTGGTTATTATCAGAATTGAAACTTCAATATTTTACCTTCTTCTTTGCGCTTTCTTTGGATATTGTGATGTATAAGCAACTGTTAGAGGAACTGTAAGTCCTAGAAGGCTTAATTCTTGATTTGGGTTGAGTCTGTCTTCCATTAAAGGTGTTTAAGAACTTGTCATTGATTATGTTGAGGCTTAATTCAGAGTTCAGAATTAACCATGGCTGATAGTGAAGGATTCCTGTCAGCAGTGACGGACGAATAATGTGATATTTGGGGACGAAGTTTTAAAATTTTAGAGTGAGGCGAATTTATTAAGTTCTAAAATAAATTATTAATTAAAAATATTTAAAATATATACTAATTTAAAATTTTTAAGATTTACTATTTCTACTCGCCTCCTTCTGTTCATCCTTGTCTGTCAGTATCTCTGCTTGGTGTGGATGTTTGATAAAATTTTGACAAGCATCATCTTTTGCTTGGCTTAGGTTGAAATATCCATATGATCTTTACACAACGTTCCATGGATATAAATTTTATGTTATGAGCTAATTTTTAAAATTTTAAGAGGAGGTTGAATTTATAAAATTTTAAGAAACGAAAATATATTATCAATAAAAAATATCTAAAATATGTAATAATTTGAAATTTTCAGGACGGCCCCTAGATCCATCCCTGGTTCCTTTCTCCTTTTATATATCTTCAACTCTGAAACAGCTAAAATAATGTTAAATCACCTTCCAGGGGGTTATTAGGATGAATGAGTTTTCTAATTCTTTTCTGTCAAAACCCAGCATTTTTTCTTTTCTTGCAAAAAATCTGAATTGAGCTTGGTCCTTCAGATATTGATGGTCCATCCCGTACAGAGGCCGCTGCAGTTAACTATGCTTCTTTAAGTAACGAAGAATGGAAGAAGAGGCTAACACCTGAGCAATTCTATGTTACTCGACAAAAAGGGACCGAAAGAGCTTTCACTGGGTATGCTCTGTGTCTGTTCATAGAATATGTGCTGCTTTTCAGGTTCAACTTCTGATCTGCTTTTTTGGTTGCAAAAACAACAGTGTCGAAATGGACCTGGATAAATCATTTTGATTGGAGGTGCTAAAATACTTGGTTGTTGCTCTTGATTGTTTTCGATCCTTGTCTGCATTGAACTGGCTGTTGTCAATGTGCTCTTCATTCTTCTTCTACTAGTTTATTATGTTTGCACCTTTTTTATGTGCAGGGAATACTGGAACACAAAAACACCAGGAACTTATCACTGCATATGTTGTGACACGCCTCTTTTCGAGTAAGTCATAATTGCAGACAAATATCAATTCAACCTATGACATCCAAACACTTGGTGATCGTGATCCTCTATGCGCAGATCATCGACTAAGTTTGAGAGTGGAACTGGCTGGCCATCATATTATCAACCTGTAGGAAAGAATGTGCAGCTAAAGTCAGATTGGTCGATAGTCTTTATGCCTCGCACAGAAGTTCTTTGCGCTACTTGCGGTGCTCATCTTGGCCATGTCTTCGATGACGGTCCTCCACCAACGGGGAAGCGATACTGCATCAACAGGTAAAACCATTTTCTTTAAATGTCGGGTTCCATCCAAGAGTTCAATGCTGCTCAAATCATTTTGTGGGTTTGAGGTTTGACTTTGCACTTTGCAGTGCTTCCTTGAGACTGAAACCGGAGTAAAAGAAACAGAAGCAATGTTGGAGTAGTAGGAGATGAGACACTGTGATTGACAAAACTCAAATACTTGGTTTGATTGGCTTTGGTGTATCATTTTGAAGTAATAAATAGCGTTGAGGACGGTGTAGGATTGAGTTTTAAACCTATGATTTGTATTTATAGCAACAATAGCTAGCTTATAATGTTATATTTTTCTTAGATAATCTGGATTCAAATGGTTGCGTGTTTGCTGGTGCGCCTGTATTGTTAAATTGTCACCTGACATCATTAAATTATGGCAGTCATACCGATAATAATAATGATAAGAGTTGATTTAACCTGACGTCATTAAATTATAACAAAACTATTAATTTATGTAAATTAGGTCCTTTCGTAATTAAAATCGTTAATTAGCTATAAACCTATCATATCTATGGTTGTAGTTGATCTTAGTTTAAACCAAATTAAAACAATGGTTAATTTTAGATTAAAACTAAAAAAAGCGAATCAAACAGACTGGAAAAAAAGAACAAAGCAAAGAACTTTCTTGATTATTTCATTTTTATAAATGTTTTTTCTTCTTAGTTATAAAATCTTGTTGCTCATACTCATTATGCATCATATGAAAGTTGCTACGCATTTTGAAGATGAAACTGCATAACTTTAATAACGAGATCAACAGGTTATTGAGCAATCCAGAAAGCATTATTATTTTTATGTGGTTCCAATTTCTAATGTAAATCCAAAATTAACCATTGGCTTCGGTGGCTCAAGCCTTTGAAATTCTGGGTTCTAGTAAGTGTATTTATAGGGTGTGTACATTTTCAATGGTTAAAAAAACTATGAACATGTCCTACCTCAGGTAGAAAGATATTACATGAGATAACATGAATATCTTTGACCATCATTGTTGATGTATCAAATAATATATTTTTATTTATTCTACTTTGATTCTTTCGTTTAATCAAACTAGCTTTCAAGATTCCAATGGTCAAATATTAAGTTTGACTGAAAATGTAGGTTTTTGGTCAACAAAAAACAGGAATAATCAATATTACCATATTTGACTACAAGTAATTGTTTGGACTAAAAGAATTAGTCAAAGAGAGCTGCTTGACCTTTATCTAAAAGCAGCCAACACGAAAGTTTTACGGTGCTGCAACCTTAATATACGGCTAAATAAAAAAGATATCGGTTTTATTTTTTTTAAATATTTCCGGTAAAAATGTACCTAAAACATTATTTTTTTACTGGTTTTGTTATTATTGGGCGCTTTACCGGTTTTGTTAACATATCCGGTAAAACGTTACCTAAAACATTATTTTTTCTACCGGTTTTGTTATTATTGGACACTTTACCGGAAATGTTAAAAAAATAATGTTTTAAGTAGAAATAATAATGTTTTATGTAATTTTTTACCAGAAATGTTAAAAAAATAATAACAAAATCGTTAGTGTCTTTCCTTATCTGTATATAAAGACTGTCGCACGGTATAACTTCCCCAGCAAACACATAATCTAATCTTCATGTTTACTTTCGTTGTCTACCTTCTACAACAAAAGTATTCCTATATTTTTAATATATATATATAGGAATATTGTTTCTTTATACTTAACTTATTCTTCCTTGTTTCGAGTTCTAACACCCTAGACTAATTGAAACAAATACTCCTCTCTTATATTAAAAAAGTTTAAATCAATCCTTAAACTATCAATATTACTTCATTTTGATCCTTTTGTTAATATATTGTTAAAAATATTGATAAAAAATTAATATGTTTTTAAAGGTATTGAGAATTGAAACCGTGACCTAAATATTTCTCAGGACCTTTATAAACACATTATTTTTGAAAAGGTTATGAGTTCAAGTCTCAAGGCCTTCAAAAACATGTTAATCTTTTTAAGAAGATTAAGACTTAATTCCCAAGATTAAAAGGATCAAAACGGAATGCCACTGATAGTTTAACGACTAATATATAATATTTTAAAGTTTAAGAACCAATTTAAAATGGATTCTTAATTTGGAGTCTAATATAGAATATTTTAGAGTTTAGAGATCCATTTAGAATAGATTCATAGTTTAAGGATCTCTTGTGTAAATAATTCTTTAACTTTGGGTGTATAAGTTTTGTGTAAAAAGATTGGAATTTGACTAAAAATGGATTGGAAAACTTTACATTTTCTAATTACACGAGAAAAATTCGACAACCATACACTTTATTAGAAAAACATTAAAATGTTATTAACGGATTGGTTAAAGTGGTAAGTAACTTAATATCAATTAATTAAGTTTCGAATTTAAGTTTTTGTGTATGTAAAAAAATTCACATAGACAAATTCATCTACCAAAAAATAAATGCATGATACGAATCAATCCGAAGTAATCTGATTAAAATCATGAAACCGAGAATGAAAGAAAAAAACATTGAAATGCTTGTTAACAACTTTAATGGTCTGCTATGCTTTGCAGTAAGCAGTAACTAGAGTGTCAGTTACGCTTAATTCTATGTAATTAGAACATTTTTGAATTTTTTGTATTGAAATTATCAAGTTGTTTTAGTGATAGAAACGAACGTTGCTATTTTTAAAGGTTTTGAGTTTGAATAGTTATGTTTATAAGATTTGTATATATTATTAATTAATTAAGATAATTATGAATAAATACTACATTATAATCATTTCCAACTATTCAAAAGAAACTCTATATTCTTTTAAAATATATATAATTTTTATTTAATATTTAGCATATGCGAATTTATGTTATTATCATTATATATTTTCCCATTAAAAAAATTAAGTATAATCAATTTCACATATCTTTTCACATTTACATTATATTTTATATTTAAATTTAATATAATATATAAATTACCTAATATGTAGAATAAAAGAATAAAAAACTTTTATAAATTTTTCCGAACCAAGCGATCTCTGTGGTAAAGTAATTGTTATTATTTCTTGAGGTATCGGATTCGAGTACCCTGAATACCGTTCAATGTCAAATGATTGAAAGTTATATTTGAATAGATATTGAAATTTGAATATTAATATTAGTGCATAAATAGAAGTTATATTAGAATGAAATTCAAGAGGGGGAAGAAGTACAGAGTAATGTTGGTGAACACAAATATTTACATAAGAAAGGGATCGAGAGCCAATTCTACAACTGATTTGAGCTGTTCCCAGTCGGCATTTGTGAAGAAATCATTTTCCGGATAGTTAGAGAAGCATGAAGATGGTAAGGATGCCATAGATTGCTCTCCATGCCAGCTTCCATTATTCATCACGGCTGCCTTGTCAACTTCATGGTTTTGAACAATTAGAGAGCCGAAAGTAATGTAATTTTCACGACTGCTGGATTCCACACTGCAACTTTGGGAGCTGTGTATGCCATTGCCATTGCCAGTCGAAGAACGTTTAGCAGCGACTCGTCCCCAGTTGGGTGTGTTCTTTCTGCAATCTACGTACCGCTTGAAGATTCGACATATTGTCCATACTTCCTGCGATTCCATGACATAATTGGAAACCCTTTAACACTAGTTTATGATATATTTGTTTCAAGGGCCAAGGCTTTACTTACAGCATCTTGTGCACTAGATTTGGGATTGGGAATGCGAAACTCGTGCATCATCCACTATGTTTTGGTTCCCTTTCCTGCACTTCCTCGGTAGTAAACTAACGTTTTCTTTAGCCCGATGCACTTGGCTTCACCTCCAACAGAATAAACAGCCTTGTCGATGCCCGTTGCTTTCCAGAACCCAGACCCCGTCACTCGGTTCGGTCTTACGCTGTTCCGATACTTTTTTCCTCGTCTGCAGAAGAAATACGATTCGTTTTCGTCACCCACCGTGTTGGCCTCTGCATATAAAACGAACTATTAACATGTCGAAATTCATATAAATACGAACGATCGAGATCAATAGACAGAAGGAAACGTACTTGGAAGATCCCAAGGATCATATTTGTAGATATCGATATGTTTGATGAGGTGCTCTATGGGGAGGGATTTGTTGTCGACTTTTCGTCGAAGATAAAACCCTACGAGCTCTTCATCTGTTGGGTGGAATCGGAAACCTGGAAGTTGAACATCTTCGTCGTTGATAATACTAGTGCCTTGGACCATGTTCATCTCTTAATTCTGTTTTTTTTTTCTCTCTTCCTTCTATGATTATTATCACTTTAATTTCTCTCTGTACCTTTGAACACAAGCGAACCTTAAATAAGGAAAATGTTAATTTGGAGTCAATTGAATGCTGGTAGTTGAGGTCAAGTCAAAGTATGGACTCTTTCGCATCAAACCCCAAATCAGCTTTGAAACTGTCTTTATTTTATAGAATTTGTTAAATAATAGTTTTGGTGAATTTATTTATATTTTAATTTATCTAACGCGGTTGGTTTAACTGATAACCAACTTGATATCAATTAAACACTTCTCGAGTTCAAGGCTTTATGTATACATAAAATTCTTGTTGGGAGACTCGTACACCAAAATTATATGTACGACACAAATAGATTCATATTAATCTAAGTAAAATCTTAAAAAAAATGTGGGTAATAAAAGAATATTTATATTATAATTTGATAAATTAATTCAAAAGGTTGGATTCCTTTCAATTGAATGATGTGGACTCTTTTTACGGATATCTTTTCCAACTTATCTTGCTTATATGGTGTTAATTATTTTGACAAATGACATTATAGAAGTAGAAACATGGGTGGAGATGATTGGCCCTAATTTTTCTTCGTAAAGAGCAGGAGCACATGTAAGTGTTACAACTTGATGACAAGATGAGCTATTTTCAGTAATAAAAAGTCAAACGTAACTTTTGTTTCCGAAGTTTGAACGTCATCTAAGTTGGATGTCTCCTTATCCAAAATAAACCAAAAAAGAATATTATCTCACATATATATATTCTTAATTACAATATATTATATATTCATAATTTTAAATTATATCTTTTTTTTTTTACTTTTCAAAGTCACTCAAGAAGATATATATATATATTAAATAATTTATGATAATTACA